TTCGTCACAGAGCTAATGACTAAGACCGTAAGCACGTGAAGTAGAAGAAGAAATAAGATGAGCGAAGAAAAGAAAAATGAAAGGACAGACAGGCAAAGAGACAGACAAACCAGAATAACACAAAACAGTGTCCTCTTATTCTTTGATTCACAGTATTATTATTTCTTTCAGTGTTTTACAAAAAAAATACATTGAATCAAATGATAAAAATAAAAAACAAAGACATTGAAATCATTCAGTTTCTCAGTCTTCTTAACGGCTCCTCCACTGTGCCTCTAACGTACAAGGCTCGCCACGTTGATGAAGTTGAGCGTGAGCTGCCCCCATCCCCGTATGCCATAACCAGCCCACTTGCACGCTATGGGAAAGAGGCAGAGTGAAGGAAGAGGTGTTAAACACAACGAAGAGAGGAGCAGAAAAGGAAAACCAATAGGCAAAGGGAGAAAAAATAAAAAATGTTAACACAAACATCTTCTTTCTTTTACTGCATTCTTCTTTCTTTTACTACATTCTTCTTTCTTTCACAGTTTTGCAGTTTTGGCGAAGAGTCTACCACGTTCGCTTTTCAGCGCACCTGCACTTCCTTCTCCATTTTTCATCCTCATTTTCACCCTTCAGACTTTTCTTTTGAGGATGTTAGGGTGCAAGGTACAAACAAAGTAAAATGACACAAACTTATGTTCTTCTTTTACTTCATTCTTCACACTTCTGCAGTTTTAGTGAAGGGTTCCCCACCTTTGCACATTCTTGTACACTCTTTTCAGCGCACCTGCACATTTTTGTCAGGGTGCAAGGTACGTCTAAGTAAGACCCTCACGACAGATAGGAGAATTGTTATAAGGATGCGGGTGATCGTAGCAGCCCTCCCACTGATCTACAGGACGAAAACCATTCAGGTAAGCAATTTCGTCACAGCAGGAGCCAGGGCGGCTAGCATTAACCATACCTCTAAAGCATGGACGACAGAGGGCATGTCAGTTGCAGGCCATGACGATTGTGGGGCGTTCACCATCACAGTTAAGTGCACACTTGCTATAGCGCCCACAGGCACAGATGGGACATACTGCATCTGGATGTAGAGGATGTTCATAATCCGGATATAGGTGGCATCCCTGCCGACAGTGGGCCCAAAAATTTATACGGTTGTAGTGATGTCGACAAAGTCGATGCTTTCCACAACCAAGTGTAACTGTGTCAGTGATCTCACAAAGGAGGTGGTCACAAGGTGTTAGTGCAACATGTGGGTTAATAAAGACTAAAGCAGGCACGGTGACATGCATGAAGGTAGGCACGGAGACCGACACAAAAACGGGCATGGGGACAGTTGGGGAGACGGGCATGGAGACAGGTGCGGAGCCGAGGACAAAAGTACGAGTGGTACCCATAGAGTCAATAATCTGGAAGGAGACAAACACAAAAGCAGGCACAGAGACAAGTACGGAGGCAGGCACAGAGATATGCGTAAAGGCGGGCATGGAAGTATATGAGGTACCCATAGGGTCAATGACCTGGAACAGTTGCACGTTAGGATAATTACGCACGGGATCACAAATAGCAGTAATAGTTTGCACCATAGCACCGCCATTCCATAATTCCGAAGGACCAGAGGCACGGACAAGAGCGGTGTAGTGGCCAGGAGCATGTAGAATATAGGCACAAACGTGCGAACAGTGGTTCGGGTCGCCACCCGAAGGCGCACGCTGCATATCAAGTCGGCGCCTTATCAATGCAGTCTCCAAAACAGAGACATTGAATCCCCCATGTCGAGTGTAATTACTATCCTATGGAGGATGCAGAGTTGGGTTATCGCCATATAACTCACGTTCCCGAGCATCAAGATCGGAAGCAATGGCCAAGAAATCAGAGTGAGTATATGGTTCCCGACGACAGGCTTGTAGGCATATGTTAGTAGCAGCGAGGCCACACAAATTCGGTGGAGGCCGGTCAGGTGGATTTTCTACAGAATCTCCTACAGTCCCCTTGCCAAGTTCATCCTCGGATGGTCCCTCGCCATCATCCCTCCTGTTTTGTGTTTGCCTTGTCGCAGAAAGGTCTGCAGTAGAAGAGCGTTGCAGGCGTGGTAAGGATGCCTTGGGCAACAAAAGACGGGGACGGGAGGGCCGTGGTGGGGAGAATGAATGGGTCCTTCTTCGTCCAAGAACAGAGATGGAGGAAAGGGGAATAAGCTGAGGTTGGGAAGTAGGTCGAAGTCGGCGTCTAGGACGACGAAGTAGGCTTTCTGCAAGGGCAGAATAAATCGACTCTCCAACTCCCTGCTGAACATTTCTCCCACCCCCAACCCCGCCCCTCTCTCTCTCTCTCTCTCTCTCACTCTCTCACTGTGTGTGTGTGTACAGGGAGTGTGACTGGCCAATCAAATTCTCATCATGCAGGCTTGTTTTTTCAGGTCACTGCAGCCCTTGAAATGAAATGGCCATGAGTGCCTTGAGTGGAAGTCACCCTCTTTGTGAGGTGGCCAGTTGTTACAGTTGTGCCAGTCAGGGGTTCTTGTGTTCTGTTCAGGAACTGAAATTTGGATACTTTGTTTTTCTTTCGTGACGACTGGCTGGAAGCAGGCAGTATCGGGTCACCTGCTATCCTCTCACTCTCGATCATCCTGCTTCACCCCTTGAGGCAAGGGTGGCCTGGCTATGATGAGAAGGGCCCTGGACCCAAGTCTTTCCGGGATTTCACGATTACGAGGGCAGATGTACATGAGGGCAAGATTCACTTCTGAAATTTGTTTCCTGTTTGATCCCTAAAACCCAACTGTCCACTCTCTTGTTTTAGTTGTCTTGACAGCAAGACCAGTGCCAGTCGAGTGACTGGACTGGACGGGGCCGCTCTGAAGTATATAGGTGGATTAGGCTGCTTTAGAGTGTAGGAGGTGGCGGGACAGGTTGATACCCCACTCGCCATTCATTCGCCACCTTGCTCGTCACCTCGCTCACCACATAGCCACCCAGATGCATGGTCACAATCTTTGAGCTGCACCGCCCAGGTGCGCCACCAACTTTAGACTTCCAAGACCATCCAGAACAGGCTTTACATGTTCTCTGGTGCTCCTACAGGAGTGAACTGCCTGATGCTATCCCTTGCCAAGGTTTCCAAGGGTTATAAGTGATAAGTGATATGAAGCTCCACTGCCCATTTGATCTGGAGTCCCTCAATCCCATTTTATCAACCCATTTGTTTTGTGGCTTGATGCTTCCTAATCCTCCCTCTTTAGTTTTTTTTGTAACAAGACGTCTGGCCGCCGCGACGGCGGCGGGGACCAAGAGTAGGGGGAAAAAAAAAATTAAAAATTGCAATTCCGCACCAATGCCCTCTCTCTCTCTCTCTCTCTCTCTCTCTCTCTCTCTCTCTCTCTCTCTCTCTCTCTCTCTCA